CCCCAAAACCCCAAAACCCCAAAACCCCTGCAATAAGAATAGTTACAACTGCATAGATGATGAATAAATTTCGATATATTTTTATCTAAATTAAACAATTATTTTAAAATAAGGTTATGGAAGTTCGGTAATCAAGTTATTTTGTTGAAAAGACCAGCCCAGAGTCATCAAAGAATTTTTAGGTTACAGACTATGCAAAACCGATATCTGATAGTTTAGGATTCTATGTCCCCCCTCCCTTACCTTTGCTCCCTTAAAGACAGAAAGGAGGTGATACCACTATTAATACTGGATTAAATATGTATTTCAAGAAGCTTGAATAGTTTTCATAAGATCCCAGTTCAGGCAGTGGCCCACTCAATCCACCTCAGCCTAAAGATAAAAATCTAATAAAAGAGTAAGAATAATTAACTGCCTCTGCTATCAATGGATTAAATACTCCAATTAAACCACCTTAGTACGATTGATTTTCTCTTAATTCTAATTTAGATAAAGTCTAAATGAATATGTCTAATTAAAAACTGACTCAGTAGTCTACTGTCGTTATGGATTAGATTATGTCCAGAGTTTCTAATACAAGGAAAATGTACCTATCGGATCATACAGGATTAATCTTGACTCATTGATATATAATAAATAAAAAATGCTTCAAGATGAGGGGTCTTACATGTTCGGCAGGTCTAATATTCTTACTTAGAGGATAAACAATGTATTTAATAAAATTCATTATTGATTTAGAGGAAAGGAAGCGGTGGATAATCAAAGACATAAACTCAGTAGCCCATCGTCAAAACAAATATAGTTTATCCCTATCATAAAGATATAAATAACCAGCAAACTATCAATGAAGAAGATGCGGCAGAAAAAGTGCCTTTATTAGGATTTGATTCTGTTTTTGAGTCTGGGAACTTAGCCATTGCAATTTAGTAAACTGATGTTGAATATGATCTCGTTCTTTAAAATGATATCAACACTAAGGGTCATACGCAATGTAAGCTAGAATATCAGTTATACATTTTTACAGGGTTTTATTTTAAGGTTGTTTCGAATTATACTGTCTAAACAGAAGTCAGATTTAATATATTAAACCTACTGAAGTCCAAATCTCTTTATCAGCACGGAATGAAAATTTTAGTTTTAGATACCTCTGACAAAGATATGGCTAATCCACAATGGGGTAGATGTGGGGAAAATATTCACTATGGAGACAATCAATATGACAGAGTAAATTTATTTAATTAATTTTCAAAGGAAGATGGGAAGCCATATTACAGTTTGAGCTTTAGTTTCATTTTCCCAGCTGGAAAAAGACAATACTACTTCGCTCATTCAATACCATATACTTATTCAATGCTAAATGATTACCTTAGCTTGAATTTCAAAAAAAGAATACTTTTATGTCATACTCTTGCAGGTAATAAGTGCGAATACGTGCACATAGATGAGAATCCCAGAAAGACGCTTAAAATTAAATCTGAAACTCCAAAGAAATCAATGCTAGATGAATTAGTTATCTAAAATTCAGCTACTGCTCATTAAAAACAAGTAGTATTTATTACGTCAAGAGTACATCCAGGAGAGTCCAACTCATCTTGGATGATGAAAGGCTTAATGGATTTGCTAATAAATCCACAGACTAATGAGGAGAAGGATATAACAAATTATCTTAAGGATCAATTTGAATTTTATATCGTTCCAATGCTTAATGTTGATGGAGTAATTAATGGAAATTATCGATGCTCCTTAGCTGCTTGTGATCTTAATAGAAAGTGGTAAGATCCATCAAGAGTTTTACATCCTACAATTTACCATACTAAAATGCTTTGCTAATAGTTATAGGAGGAGATGAATAAGAAATTCTTCCTCTACTTGGATATGCATGGCCATTCTATTAAGTAAATTTTCTATTATTCATATTTTAGAAAGAATGTCTTTTAATATGGAAACAAACTTGATTCACTTCAGCAAGGTGGAAGCAAAATTAAGGATTATTCATGCTAACCAAAACTTTTCTCTCATATTTTGTCTAAACAGTTCGATTATTTTTCTTTTCAAGATTGCTCTTTTCAAATGTAAAAGTCAAAGGAATCAACTGCAAGAATATCAATGTTTCACTAATTAAAGATACCTTTTGTATTTACATTGGAGGCCTCGTTTGCTGGAGCTAACAGAGGGAAATTGTTAGGTCAGCATTTTTCTATTGGAGATCTAGAAAATATTGGGAGAAGTGTATTAAAGGCATTATATCATGTAAAAATTATTGAGAGCAACAAAAAGCTACTTAGAGAGCTCAGTTTAGAAATTGAGGCTTTCAACAAAGATAAAGATGAAGATTGCGACGATAGCGATGGCTCATCAGATGAAGATACTAATGATGTAATACCATCAGAACCATCCTAAGTAAACTTGTAGCCTTAGCCTTAACCACTTCCGTAAGATGTCGTGTCTGAATCTAGTTTAAACACTACTAATACAACAACTACAAATAACATTAAGAGTAAAAAGAAAAAGCTGCAAAAGTAAAGTTGCGATTTCAATTCAACTTATTTTAGGAATTCTGGAATAGTGATTAAAAAGAGGAAAAATTAGCCTAACATATCTTAAATGAGCAAATAAGCTAATGCACTTAATAATAATACATCTACTCCCAACATCGAAAAGCTTTAAGCAACTAAAGCTAAATTATAATGTAATATATTTTGTTTACTTATTAGAAATCACGAAAAAAGTGATAAAAGATTCATTGGATCCTGAGATATCACAGAATTCTAGAGCTTAATTGCATAATTCAACTGAATAGAGCTATTCTGAAGACTAGAGGCGCTAAACTCATTCAAAACAAGCATCTATTGTTTCATACTTTGAGATTAGCGAAATGGCCTCTCCACTACCCCGAGAGTTAAAAATCACATCAATATACAATAATACCAACTTATAAAATAACAAATTTGGATAGTTTGCTAATACAGCCAACTCAATTTAGAATTAATTTATTCCAAAAGGTCATTCTTAAGTTAGGAATTCATTTATGAATGATAAAATTTCACATAAATCAAAGAATAATCAATCCTCAACAGACATTAATATTGATAGAGATGGGGCCCAAATGTCTCGCACAAATCTTAACATTAAAAATCAGAGTGCTTCAAATGCCAAGAAGGATAGTCCAGAAATTAGAAGCATTAAGGCAAATTTAATGAATAGGTCAAAATCTCCATAAAAAGGAGGTGGATTTTTAAAATAAAGGAATTCCCCAATGAAAGTAGCTCCATAGATTGTAGGGTAGGTAATTTCATAGACTCACTATAAAAAATCTACTACAGGATTTGATTCTTTATATTAAAGCCCTGGTAGTTTTAATTACTCTTATATACATCCCTTGCCAATTCTGAGTCAAGAATCAAGAGAAAATAATGACTATGAGCCAATGGGCAAGCCAATGAAACAGGCAAACATTTATAATATGGCAACGATTCACAATAAGCAAGCTATTGCTACAGGAATAAGCTAAACATAATCACATTACTTCTAGAATGGAGCGAAAATAAGTTATACAGACACTTACAGATAAAAGCAAAAACAAACAAAAAATTACATTCTTTACCAATAGTAATACCAGCCTAACTAAACAAATACGAATGGCTAATCATTATTGAGCATGAAGGAATACATATTGAATAAATAAGTGCATCAGCATTATTCAGACTAGCTAATGTCTAGAAAGTAAAACTAGACTGTCTTGACGAAATATAGTTCCAATTTCCCTGAGATTAATGGGGCGAAAAGCGAAAGTATATGGTAGGCAACTAAGGTGACTCCAGCATATATTGATTAAAAAAGAGATAAACTTAATGACATCCATCCTAATAAAGATTCTTAGTCAGAGCCACCAGGCTAGAAAATGAGAAATCATATATTGATTTAGAAAAATCAATCTTCAGAAAGTTAGTATAATTTCTAAGGTAGAGGTAGATCTAGTTCAAACAATAGTCCTATGAATAAATAAAGAGCAAGCTTGGACAATCATATACCTATTATATTAGGTTGATTTCAAACTAATTTATCTAATTCTATCAGAATCACTATTGATTAGTTTAACAAGCTTTCTTGCAATAGTTCAATAATTTGTGAGAAAAATCATTGATAGTATTAAGCTCATTAGATTAGCATCAATTTACAATTGTATATTAATTTTTTTCCTCACAATCTAGTTTGCTGTTGTTATTGCTACTACTATGAATTAGGTTTGAAGAATACGCCTCTAAATGCACTCATGAGAAAATCATTACTCTACTAATAGGCATTATCTAGGGCAACTTAAGTTTGCTTTGTTTTTATTTCAAATGGATTGCCATTCTAATTTTTAGCATCTTGTGAGATATTATTACTTATATCTAACTTATTAACGCTATTTCTTTGAATCTCATAATCACTATTATTCCTGATTCTTTTAGAAGGAGAACTAGGCAATGATCTTTTTCTGTCAAGATCATGCATATTTTCATACATGCCGAAATCTTGGAATTATCCAGTCACTGCTTCGTCCTCTTTGACATATAATTTATCATAGATTTCATAACCATTCTTAACAAAGACTATTAAGAAAACCAAGAGTATGATGTTAATAATCAATGCTACTTTAAATGGATAGTAAAGCCACATTAGTAAGAATGAGCTAACATGGAAAAATAACAGTTGAAGGATGAAAAATATGAAACATTGATTAGACTCTTTTTTCATGTTTTCGACAGCTTTATGCATAGAAACTGCACCCTCGCCACCTCTTAGAGCCAATCCAGGTCCAAACATGACGCACTAAATAATAAATGAGTGATTATATTACGAATGATGCTATAGTTATGCAAAGAAGTCCGAAAGCCATTCCACATGATGTGGTCGAGAGATACCCAAAAGTGACAAATGATGAAATTTTTTCATTGATGGGAACACTGAGTCCTCCATAGCAAAAGCCTATTAAATTAAACAACAAAATTTGATTACCAGCCAGTAAGGCACTTTATGAAGCCATCGTTTAAAAAGTTGTTGTCCAGTAGTTAAGCTCCTTCTCTCTGATATTAAGCGTTTTGACTTAAAGATCAGTTAGAGTTGTATTTTTAATTGCTTAGATCATATTTGTTTAATTCAAATTAATTAATTTATAAGTTAATCAATCACATCTCAACTATCAATAAAATAAATGAACTCATAGCATTACTTGTAACTTCAATTACACTCTATTCGATCTCAAACTTCCTCTAATGCTACAAGTCATGGATTCAAGCCAAACAATCTTCAACTGTACACTTAGAACAATCTAGGGAGTCATTATATAAATCAAAAATCAATGGGGAATAACTCATCAAATAATAATACTCACAGAATGCTAAACATTACGATAAGTCCAAAAGCAGATTTAACCGATTTTATAAATAGTTCCTCAAAATAAAATCACTAGATGACCAAGGAGTATATAAAAATGAATCAGAGAATCGGCATCTTTAGCCCTCAAATGCTTGATAAAATTCAGATCAAATCCCAGAAGCGTCGAGTCATTTAACTTCAACTAAGCCATGATAGTGATCCCGAAAGTCAAGCTTAGCAGCCTGAGACAATTAACACAGAATATCCAGGTTATTTGTAATTATTAAGTTAACATAATATATCTTCTTAGATCTCCAAGCATAGGAAACAACGAGAGTAGAGCATAGACAACAAAAAGTAGAAGGGAAATTAATTTATAGGTAAGATCACAAAACTAGGTAAAAAGGAACCACTAACTCGTTGAAAAACGCATTAAATCTCCAACTAATTTTGTCAATAATACTCTAAAATTGGGTTCTCCGAATAAATTTCAAGGGCATGAAGAGGTAATAATTAAAACAAAAATAAGGAGCCCATCTAAAATTTCTAATGAAAAAAGATCAATTAAAACTCAACAAAATATGAGATAGAAAGATTTTCTGATTGCAACTAAGAGAAATAACTAGAATAGTGCATTAAGGAAATTACTGAACTCAAGTACAAAAGCTTCCCATCGTGACGTGAATGAATCAGCTCTAAACAAATCCCTTCTGTCTCCTAAAAGGTAAATTACTTGAATCATTATAAGTATAATCATAGCATCCTAAATCATGATATTTAAGATTTCTCAGCTTCTAAAATGAGCAATCTATTTTCAAGAAAGCAACCTAGAAAAAGCAGGTATCAACATTTCGACAGCTCTAATAAAGTAGATCATGGGAAATTGTTATCTTTATCTGAGATTATGGAATAATGCCGTTAACAATAGAGAGAAAAATAAGAGAAAAAGGAAAAAGAGGCTTAGGTCTAGTCAGAAAAAAAGTTGAACAATACATTTTCAAAGAATTAAAATCTTTCCTTGCTTACTATGGAAGAAAACTTGATCTATAATTCATCATTCAACGAATTAGAAAGAAGATAAATGGATCAGCAATATTTGAAATTCGCTAGGAGTTTAGAAAAATAAAACTTCAGTGAAATCATGAAGAAAACTAGAGTAGATCTCAAGAAAGCAATAAACACGACATAAAACTTATTAGTAGATAATAGCTAAAAATAATCAATTTAATTAAAAACATCACCATTAACCAATGAATTCACATTGAATGCAATGGTATTTGGTTACTATAAAATAGATTTACTTAATAAGTAATAGCCAGTATCAGTTTTAATATAAGGGCACAAAGGAGACATTAATATCTACTGTTCGTCAACTATATCTGAACCGAATGAGTAAAATAATTAGTCTCATTTTATGAATGTAAGTTATAATAATTTTATGAATTCTAAACATAGGAAACTAAAGTACTGTTTTATTCTTAGATTAACAAGACTCTTTTTATTAATAAAATATAACCATAGTAATAAGGACTTTAAAAATATGCAATACCGTCTATGTATTTATCTATAGAAACAACTGAGCTCTCAAAGATAAAAATAATTGTTTGCTTTGGAATAGACTCTCTTAGAAAAACCGAGCATTCAATTCACGAATAATCTAAGCTACAGCTTTAAAACTAGAACTCTTAGAAGGAAGATGATGATGGCATGTCTGGAGGAAATGGACATAAACTACCTTTTAACAAGCTGATAAGTTAAAAGCAAAGTGAAATCAAGAATAACATATAAAAAATGATATAAGACGAAGATCAAGCTATGAAGTTTTTTAGATATTTAGGAAAGCTCAAAAAGAAAAAAGAAGAACAAAAAATAGAGGAGCTTAAGATGAAAATGAATATGCAGAATGTTAAGAATTTCGTTATGGACAATATTGATTAGTAAGGCGAGTGGTGATGGTTATATTAAAGCAAATTAATGGAAAAGAGCTAAATGCTTAACAATAAGATAATGATAACTAATCATAGGAAAAAGCTGATTGAGCTTCACGAAAGACAGAGATCAATAGATTATTTAAGTAGATGGGATACTATCAGAGAAAATGTAAGTTACTGGTATTTTTATTAAATAACATTTAGCTAGATTAACAAAGATAAATAAACGAGAAAGCTTACAGATTGAACCTTTAAATAAAGTTATGGAAATCAGTATTAGCAAAGTATGAAGTTATAAATAGGTTGAATTTAATCTATAAAGAGAAGATCTAAATCAGAGATGATAAGATCAAAGTATATAGATGCGCCTAAGTAATGAAGAGATTTCTTCAAAAGCTCTTGAAACGTAAAGGAAAAACCACTGAAAAAAGAAACTAAAATATAATTAGGCACTCCTTCTATGTTGGTATCATAGGAAGCAAGGAGACTGAAGAAAAAAGAGCTTTAAATATCATCAAGATATTTCTGCTGTAAAATCTAGGAGTATAATAAATCCATTCTGCTTTTAAGACTTTTAGAACTAAATGTAAGTAATTTGCCTTAATGTCATTATTTTAGTTCAAATTCTTTAAAGAAGAATGAGGAAGGAAATCATGTTTAAAGAAGAGAAAATAGGTGTTTTAATAAAATACTTTGAGAAAGAAAGACAAAGAATGCTTATCTAATTTATTAAGATGAAAGATAAAGGACTGCAAGAGCTGGGACCTCAAATAAATGGGATACCTGAAAATATCAGAAATAAACTTCTGCTCTATTATTACAAGAGCTGTAGGAGACACTATACCAAAAGATATTACGATTATATTAGAGAACTTAAATAAAAGGTAATCAATATAATCCTCAATATTATTTTAGGGAATAGATTAAAATTCAAATTTAATTGTTGAAGATGAGAACTATAAAATATGGAAATTCAAAGAAATTGATTTCGACATAAAGCTTTCGACTTCTTACCTACAAACAGCATAAAGAGGAGCATAATTAATTATGTCAAAATATAGTTATCCATCCTCTATGATTAAGTAAAATAAATAGCCCACGCAATCACCCTCTGGATTATTCCTGACTGAAACTTATGGCTCTGACGATAAGCAAGTAGTAAAACCTCGATTTAAATTTCTGCCAGATGTTGAGTTAATGCATCAATTAATTATTCGGGCTACTATGATAAGAAATGAAACTCAAATTGAATGATGACGATAATAGTCATAATGACTAACTTTTTATTTTTACCACTTTCAGTGGGATTTTAATTTCTTAAATTTGAATATAAATTTCCATCCAGTAAGTTTCAAGCTAATTGGGGTTTTGGGGTTTTGGGGGGTCAATCTCAGCCTAAAGACCG